GAGTTTTGCTCGTGTTATTCAGCTGCAACAGAATGCTTTGTAAAAAGACAGAATAAATATGTTTGATGACATCTAAATGTTTGACTTAATATTTATTTATTTTTTTACCTCATTGGATTTAAAACTAGGAATCGATCAAATGCGAACGATACCCAACCCTATTCATAACACAAACTGATACAACAATGTCTCACAATAATGTGGCATTTGGACATTTCTGATCAATCAAAGCATTTCATAAATGCCAAATGTTCTGTGAATTTATAGGATCAATCAACAGTTTGGGGTCAGCAAGTTAGATCTCTAAAAATACAGTAAAACAGTAATATTGTGAAATATTATTCCAATGTAAAACAGCTGTTTTCTATGTGAATCTCTGTTAAACTGTAATGTATTTCTGTGATGCGCAGCTGTATTTTCAGCATCATTACTCCAGTCTTCAGAGTCACATGATCTTCAGAAATCATTCTAATATGCTGATTTGCTGCTCAAGAAACATTTCTGATTATTAACAATGTTGAAAACAGTCGTGCTGCACAATATTTTTGTGGAAACTGTGATGCATTTTATTTTTCAGGATTCACAGATGAATAGAAAGTTCAAAAGAACAGCATTTATTGGATTATGTATATTATGCAACCAGACTCAAATGCTTCAAAAAAGTGGTGTTTCTGTAGGTAACATCTAACTGTCTACCCAGAACCGTTGGATTGGAAGTTATAAAGAAATAAATTAAACTTGCACTTGCTGTACCTCTTTTATGATGCATAGTAAACATCCGTCATCATGTTTTCAGGAAAAGGAGGATGAGGAAGAAGACAAGAAAAGTGAGAAACTGGAGCTTGAGGATGAGCTGCTGTTCGAGGACTTCGAGCTGGGAGATGAAGACCGTGAACTTCCTGAGGAAGAGGAAGTGGATGTAGAGGATGGAGAACTTGAGGAGACCGACGTCGAAGAAAGCACCAAAATGAAGATCCTGCGGCAAATAGCAGACGTGGCGTCCAAACTCAAAGAAATCGTTGGCAATCTGATTACCACTGCAGGAAAAGTAGTCGTAACCATATTATTGGGCCTCACAGGTAGGTAGTGTTGAGACAGACATCGCTCACGGCACAGGATCAATAATCAGCATTCATTTATAAACTGAAGATGAATACAAGCTCAAGTGTGGTGTTATATCCCAAAGATCAAACAAAAAGAAATAAAACATCATGCACGGTTAAAGGAAAAATTCAGCCAAAAGTGTACTCATCCTCAGGCCATCCGAGTGTGTTTCTTCATCAGGTTTGGAGAAATGTAGCATTGAATCAGTGTCTCAGCAATGGATGCTCTGCAGTGAATGGGTGCCGTCAGAATGAGAGTCCAAACAGCTGATAAAAACATCACAATAATCCACAAGTAATCCACAGCACTCCAGTCCATCAGTTAACATCTGGAGAAGACAAAAGCTGAAACTAATCCAGCATTAAGACGCTTTTAACTAAAATACTTCATCTTTTGTCTTCTCCAGATGTTAACTGATGGACTGGAGTGCTGTGGATTACTTGTGGATTATTGTGATGTTTTTATCAGCTGTTTGGACTCTCATTCTGACGGCACCCATTCACTGCAGAGCATCCATTGATGAACTAGTCAAATTTCTCAACAAATCGTTCCGATAAAGAAAGAAATGTTCTGCAAATGTTCATTTTTGGGTAAACTATTCCTTTAAGGGCAAAAAATATAGTAATTTCAATAGGAATCCACATAATCAAGAAAGATTTACCCATGCACGCCCAGGCTTGCTTCATACATTGCTTCGGTATTGAAAATGAACATTGGTCATTTTTTGCACACATATTTTGCCGAAATTCCATTGCACCTTTAGTACTGACTCTGGAAATGACTTTTCTCAGCCTTCTCTCAATGTGTCCATGTTCCAGGTATGATGTTGCCTTCTCTGACCTCCACTGTGTATTTCTTCACCTTCCTGGGCCTGTGCACCTGGTGGTCTTTCTGCCGCACGTTCGACCCGCTGCTCTTCAGCTGTCTGTGTGTCCTGATGGCCATCTTCAGCGCCGGACACCTCATCATGCTCTACCTCTACCAGTTCCAGTTCTTCCAGGAGGCCGTTCCGCCCGGAAACACTTACGCCAGGTGAGACCAGTGTTCCCTCTCTGTTCTTTTCTTGCTGAGCAAAACTTTTCTCTATTGGGCGAACATTTCGGCTACCTGAGCAAAAACATTCTTTATACCAGACCTGTACAGCGCACACACAAAAAAGTGTGTAACTTTTAACTTTAATATGTTACCCTGGAGCACAAAACCAGTCATAACCAGTCATAACCATGGCCGAGATACAACTATTTGAAAATCTGGAATCTGAGGGTGCAAAAAAATCTAAATATTGAGAAAATCATCTTTAAAGTTGTCCAAGCACAGATTACCGGAGAAAACATTTTTACAGTGCTGTGTTTCCAAGACATTGTATTAAAAAGCTTTTTTTTTTAATTTATTGTAAAAATTAAACATTTTAATTTTAATGCTCTATTTAAGCTTTTGGTTTGCATCTCAAACCAAAAACGACCTACAAGCCGACACCGTCAGGCTCTATTTGGAGAGGTTTGATTTAAAGAGTCAATATTCAGTTTGCTTTCAGAGATCTGGATTTAGTCCTGTGTGTTTTCTGTGGCGTCTGCCCAGTGTTTCGCTCCAGGACAGACCTCGCGGCAAACTCTACACTACTGATCTTTTATTTGTATAAGTCTTCAGGTTTGTGGGATGTGAGCTGTTTATTAAGCTGTAAGTTTTCTGTTCTGATGGTCTGATTTGATTTTGTGTTCATGCATTTCATAGTTATTAGCTCATATTTTCATGCTGTTACAAACTTTCCTTCTTCTGTGGAGTAATGTAATGAATATCTGGTTGAGAGAATTCAGTGCAATTGCAGTGCAGTATGACTGACTTTAATACTTAATAAAACATCTGAGAGTGTCAGCAAAACAATTGCACTCACGATCATTGGTTTTCGTTAAAAACAATTAGATATTTAGCCAACTTGAAGCAGGGTTATTATAAAGTAGTTAACTAAAACTATAACTAAAACCATAGAAACTTTAATTAAAATAAACTGAAATAAAATATTTAAAAGAAACAATTTTTCTTCTTAATGTAACAGCAAAATAATAATAATAATAAACATGTAATGAAATAAATACATTCCTAAAAAATAATTAATAAAATGTAAAACAGCAACAATAACAATAAGGAAATAATGGTTGTTTTATTCTATTGACAGCCATAGTTTTTATTCACTGTGAAATACAAATGATTGTTGTTGTTGTTTTATCATTATTACATATAATGAAATAAATTAACTTCTAAAAATACATTTTTTAAATTCAGCAAAGAGTGCAAAATTACAGACATAGGTTTTAACACTATAAAAATAAACAAATTAATGTGTAGTATTATAATTATAACACGTAATGAAATAAATACATTTGCTTTGGAGGCAAATTTCACCCCAAAAGCACGACTGACAACAAAATCCAAGCAGCAGAAAACAGCTTGAAGTCTTGAAGGCTTTGAAAGCCTCTCTCCTGCGTCGGCTGTGTGTCTGGGTTTGCTCTATTACAGTAGATTAGCAGCTGCTCAACAAGACTTCAAAACGGCAACACTGCAAACAAACAATCCTTCTGACCTCTGAATGAAGCCAGTTTTAAAATTGTTACTTGGGTCGAATCCACGTCCTGAAACCTCACACGCATTCAAAGCCTCTATAAAAGACCCAATACTACACACACGTCTGAAACCCAGCTCAGAAACTACAGCGAGGGCCAAACCAAACGCACACACGTGCAAAAAAAACCCTGCTACCTTCAGAAACACAATGTGTGGGAGAAGAATAAAAGAGGCGAACGTGCAGAGAAAGCAAAAAACAAGCATAGAAATGTGCTTGACTAAACCCCTTCATTCAACCACAGAGAACTAAGTGGTTTTTACAGGATTTAGCGGCTTCTTCCTCAAACAAAACCTGAGAAACACCATATTAGAAAAGCATTCGCTCTGAGACGGAAACAAAGAGCTTGTCTCTGACGATCACATAAACAGCACAATCAGAACCAGCTGTGTGGTTTTGGTTACACACTGAGCTCTAAATATGTGGAAGTGCCAGGGAAGAGTCTATTTTGGGTAGACAAGAAAATACTAATTTAGCAAACCCAGAGATTAAAAGCAAATGCTTCTCTGTTGGTTTGTCTGTTGGGTGCAACCATGTTTTGCTCAGACGCTGCTCGTTTATAACTGGAAATATTCAGTGCATATGTCATATGTGACTCTGTGGGTATATTTGTAGCAATAGCCAACAATACATTGTATGGGAAAAAATACCGGGCAGCACAACTGTGTTCAACATTGATAATAATCAGAAATGTTTGTTGAGCAGCAAATCAGCATATTAGAATGATTTCTGAAGATCATGTGACACTGAAGACTGGAGTAATGATGCTGAAAATACAGCTGCGCATCACAGAAATACATTACAGTTTAATAGATATTCACATAGAAAACAGCTGTTTGAAATTGCAAAAAATATTTCACAATTTTTACTGTATTTTTGATCAAATAAATGCAGCCTTGGTGAGCAGACGAGACTCTTTCAGAAACAAAAAACTTACCGACCCCATACCTTTGAACAGTAGTGTACCAACATTTCATAATATTTCTTTGGCATGTAAATGAAATGTAAATTAGACAATTATTGGCACACATTAAGAGTATAGTGCTATAAAAATGTCTCTGAATCTCTCTTGATACGCGAGATTCGAGTCCACATTCACTCTTAAAAATAAAGCTGCTTCACAGTGATGCCATAGAAGAACCTTTTTGTCTAAATGGTTCCATAAAGAAGCTTTAACATCTGAAGAACCTTTCAGTTTCACAAAAGCTTCCTTGTGGTGAAAGAAGGTTCTTCAGATTATAAAAAAGCTAAGAAAGAGATGGTTCTTTGTGGAACCAAAAATGAAGAACCTTTTAAGCACCTTTATTGTTAAGAGTGTTGAAATCTCTGACCTTTGAGATGCAGTTGAGATCTCTTGAGGAGATGCATGCGAGATTTCGAGAAACGAGAAGCAGGAGACTTCAATAAAGGTTTGCTGTCTAGCGGTTGAGATTAAAGAGCTTTCTGATTTATCTCTATGGCACTTTTTTCTGCTTAACAGTGTGTTTATTATGAATTGGCCGCATTATAAATAGTAACTCTATCCAGCAACTTTTCTGCACTTGGACTGGTTATTTTCAGCCGTGGCATTAGGTCTTGGACGTCACGTTCTGGGTTTGAATGAATCACGAAAGGCCAAATATTCTGACTTCATATTTTCTCGATGCCATGAAGCAGCAGCAAAACGAACATCTGGCAACCCACAATGATTTTACTAACAGCACCGAAACTATAAAAACCAAGGAGCATGCACTTGTCACCTAATACGCTGTGAGAAGTTACCGTTTTATTGATTCCATCAGCTGAATGTGAAGTACATTGTATTCAGGTTGCATCAAAAGCCATATGTTCGTTCTGAACGGACGTGACGCTTCAGGTTATTTTTCATTTCAAATGGAAGTGAAGAGCTGTTGGAAGTGTTGCTGTCTTGGGCTGTGCTTCTGTTTTCTCTTTATTCATCCCGTTTTATACCTTTTTTAACTTTTATACCCTGGTAAAAAGGCATGGGCTGTTGTTTTTTGTTGTTGTTGTTGTTGTTGTTCCTTAGGCGTCCAATTTTGGTTCCACTGAAAGAGAGAAAGAAAAAATAGGGGAAAATAAACACAAGCATAACCTTATGAAATCTGAAGAGAATTAGCAGCTCTTCTCTTACAGTTTTGATTTGGTGATACACTTATTTTTCCATCCCACATCATTCCAGTTTTATATCTTTTATGTGGATTTTTATTATTATTTTAATATATGCACTGAAACTTTCAAAAACATGGTATTACTGAGCATTTTTTTAACATGATGGTGAAACATCATCATTGTTTTTGAAAGAAGTCTCTTTTGCTCACCACGGCTGCATTTATTTGCTCTAAAATACACTAATATTGTGAAATATTTTAAAATAACTGTTTTTCATTTTAATCTACTTAAAGTACAATGTATTACTGAAGTCTTCAGTGTCACATGATCCTTCAGAAATCATTCTGATTTATTATCAGTGTTAGAAACAGTTGTGCCGCTTAGTATTTTTTAAAATCTCTGATACTTTTTTCAGGATTCTTTGATCCATAAAAAGTTAAGAACAGCATTTATTCAAAATAGAAATGTTTCTAACAATAAGTCTTTGCTATCACTTTTTAAAATTAGTTTAACACATCCTTGCTAAATAAAAATAGTCTGACCTTTTGAATGGTAGTGTATATTGTTACAAAAGATTTTAAATAAATGCTGTTCTTTTTTTTTTTTACTTTTTATTCATCTGATGCAGAAAATTCAGCTTTGCATCATACATTTTAAAGCATAATAAAATAGAAAACAGCTATTTTAAATTGTAATAACATTTCACAATATTTCTGTATTTTGGATCAAATAAATGCAGGCTTGATGAGCAGAAGAAATTTTTGAACATCAGTGTATATGTTAGTCATGACTCGCATACCATGGTATTAATATCAGATACCTTCACTGTAACATGTTGGTAATGGATTTTATTATGAATGAATGCTATTTGTCTAATCTTCTCCTCAGTCTGTTTGGCATCTCTCCTGTGGTTCAGACGGACTGCTCTCACACCTGGATGTTCAGAGTCAACCCTGATCTGGAGTGGCACCACTTTGTCAATCCCATCATGCTCTTGGTGCTGTATTACACCCTGGCCACGCTCATCCGCCTGTGGCTGCAGGAGTCAGAAGACATGGTCAGACTACAGCCTTCCTGTTCATCTGATCACAAAAGTCAAATAAGATTTCAACACCGAACATCTACATGTTTTTGTGAAGTTGTTATACTCCGTGAGCCTCTGTGATTAAGTGTTAGTCCAATGTGATGATATTAAATAGCATTTTCAGGAAAAAGAAAATCATCTCCGGGTCAAAGTGACCAGAGCGCAACATGAGGGTTTAAGAATTTCATTTTTTTTAAACCAGTAGCCAGATGATATATATGGGACGTATTTGTGATTGTGGTTCATCGGCAGGTCAGAGAGAAAGAGGGAGAGACTGAGGAACGAGAGGAACCAGAATCTCCTGAAAGCAATATGGCTGATTACACTGCAGAGAAGAAGAGGCAGCTGTGGAGAATGGCTCATTATCGCACTGATGAGAGACATGTAGGAGCTCCATTTCACTCTTTAGTGATGCACAGATATTTCAGGAACCAAAAATATTCATCCGAAACAGCAATTTTCAGTTGTAATAAAACATGTCACATAACATCACATGTACCTTAGGAAAGCCATTCAACATCCATAAAGTCAGGGTGCGAATTATGGGGGGGTTTGGGGGGCTAAAGAAGGCTTGATCCCCCATGATGGACGTCAAATCTAGATGTAGGGGGGTCCGATAGAAAGAAGGCTAGCCTATGCATAATATGGAGAATTACTTGTAAATATTAAGATGCATTTCTATAGCCCTGACTGATTTTAAAATGTAATTTTGGCAGCCCCTGAAATGGGTCATACTGACATTACCTGAGCGGCTGAAGAATAAAGACGTGCATTTATTGCTTGGATGGAGCAAGAACACTTAAAATGCATTTGTGGATTCAGTCGAGTGATAAAGTTTACCCTCTTCAAATTAATGCGGTTGAACTGAATTTATGGAGCAAACTATTTGCTAAAATAACCATAACATTAACACCGCTGAAATACAAGCGCGCGGTTCTGTCAGTCAGATGCGCGTGAAAGCTGCATGTGTTACTATAACAAACACCGCGTGTTTTCTTTCAGAATCATCATTGGCTGGCAGAAAGACAAAAATAGGTTGCATAAAAGTTTTCACTTAAAAATGAAGATAAGGTAAAGGTGTGAATAATTACATTTTAGACACATTGTCAGTACTTTCTCCAGTACCTAGGAGAACTGTTGGGCGTCTTTGATCAACACACAGCGGTGTTTCGTTAATGAATCCACGTTTTTAAACGAATCGATTGAATCAATGATTCAGTGAACCATTCATAAAGGCAGTCACTTGCTTCGTTTCTGAATACAGTGCCGGGAAAAGGTTTTTGCCCCCTTCCTGTTTTTTTTATTTTTTGCATATTTGTCACACTTAAAAGATTCAGATCATCAAACCAATTTTAATATTACGCAAAGATAATGCAAGTAAATACAAAATGCAGTTTTTAAATGATAATTTCATTTATTAAGGGAAAAAAGCTGTCCAAACCTACCTGGCCCTACATGAAAAATTAACAGGAAGGGGGCAAAAACTTTTTCACACCACTGTAAATCAGCCGTTTGAACAAATCAGTTGAATGAATGACTCGGTTATCAAGACAGGTATTTGTCACCACCTACTGGCGCTTTTAGTTTTATATTTAGAGTATTGTTTCTATTTTAAAATAATTATTTTAAATTTTTATTTTTGTATGTTGAATTAAAATATTTCTTTCTAAAGCTACTTATATTTCAGCTACTTTTTTGCAATGTTTATTCAGTGTTTTTTTTTTTCTAAATTAACATAATGATAACTATTATCTTTAATAATAACTTCATCTTTAATCGGCACATGATGTGCAATTAATAATTAATTAATTAAGCTCTTTATTTGTTAATTAATTAAGCTCATTAATTTGAGATTATGTAATTAATTAGATTTGAACCCCCCCCAATGGTCACTGTGTAATTCACAGCTAGAAAAATAACTCTAGAGAGGGGCATTTTGATAATATATGTACTATATTCATGATATTTTCTTTATATATGTTTGTGTAGCAAACATGCACTTACCATATATATTCTATGACTTGTTTCAAGATGTGATTTGTAGATAAATAGTCGTTCCTTCTGCATTTTCAGCTGCTCACCACACAAGAGGGCTACAGCACACCTGAGGTCTGTGTTTCAGATCGACTCTCATTAATGAGCATCATAGATGAATACATGAGCCTGTCAGGAAATACTGTGGCTTTACTCTGTCCCAGGTATTGATGGTAACCTCAAACGGAGCCTCGCTGGACTTCACGTCAGTCCTGCATGAGAACGGGCCGAAGCCTGTGGAGCTCTACTCAAGCCCTCATTACAGACCCGGCCGACCCCAGTCTGATCCGCGTAAGTCAGTCACTAAATACCATGGTATTACACACACACACACACACACACACACACACACACATATCAATACCATGGTATATATACACACACAGTGTACAGTCAAACAAAATTTATTCAGACACCTTCAACATTTTTCACATTATATCACAGTTTATGTGAAATAACTGTGCCAGAACAAATTAATCTTGATAATGTCAGATAACTTTGATAGAAAGGTATGTAATGGATTACAATCAACCAAAAATTATTCAGCTACCAATTACCAAGCAATGCTTAATTTTGTTCAGTCTGTGGTGTAAAAAGGTCGCATTAGCAATTAAAGAAAAACCACTTAAAAGCCTGTGGAGCTCTACTCAAGCCCTCATTACAGACCCGGCCGACCCCAGTCTGATCCGCGTAAGTCAGTCACTAAATACCATGGTATTACACACACACACACACACACACACACACACACATATCAATACCATGGTATATATACACACACAGTGTACAGTCAAACAAAATTTATTCAGACACCTTCAACATTTTTCACATTATATCACAGTTTATGTGAAATAACTGTGCCAGAACAAATTAATCTTGATAATGTCAGATAACTTTGATAGAAAGGTATGTAATGGATTACAATCAACCAAAAATTATTCAGCTACCAATTACCAAGCAATGCTTAATTTTGTTCAGTCTGTGGTGTAAAAAGGTCGCATTAGCAATTAAAGAAAAACGCTTCAGCAAAACATGGTCAGGTCAAAGTGTCTGAATAATTTTTGCTCCCAGTTTTACTGGTAAAAGAATTTTTGGGTATAATATGTCACAGTTTACTTTATTTTGTTATCCTCACTTACATTTATGAACTATAGTGTCCTGCACCCATAGTAAAAAAATATCAAAAATTATATCTGGTGTCTGAATAATTTTTGGTTTGACTGTATATATATATATATATATATAAATATATATATAATGTGGAGAGAGAATTATATATTTATGGATTAATATATTATTTTGCCATATTACTAATTAATATGTCACTAATTATTAAATATTGTACTGTTGCACAGTTTTGTTTCCGAAGTAAATCTATCTGGTTTAAGAAAGTTTAGATATATTCATTGAAATTAAGACAAGAATACTGATTTAGATTTAGGTGCAAATTAATATGTAGTGAAATAGGATGTTTTTCCACCAAGTACATAGTCTAACACTATTCCCATAAACATCCCTATTCCCTAGATATTTCCCATACATTTCAGGAAGTTTGTTTTTTCAGTTCTTGGAAATGCAGTCTAAATTTTCCAGATACACACATGTAAAGCCTCCATTCATGTTCGAGGGCAAAGATAGGTGATTCACAGAATCCGACCCTGGCGTTTGCTTAAAATACACGCTTCTTTTTCAGAGAAAGTGGACTGCGGTGTTTACAAGATTGACTCGGTGTATGTTGAGCTTCCCGAGGTTCCCCAGCCGTTCGGTGTCGTTCGTGTGAACGCGGCGGTCAAGGCCTTCAGGTTCATCATGAAGCAGAGCTACATCTGCGCTCTCATTGCCATGATGGTGAGTCTGTGCAAATGACGTTCATTTAAAGACATCATTTGAGGTCTTGTGTGAAAATTCATTGTTTTTTTCTCCTGACCATCCGTCCAGGCTTGGAGCATCACGTACGTGAGCTGGCTGACCTTCGTCTTCCTCATCTGGTCCTGTATTCTGTGGATGGTGAGGGACCGGAGGAAATACTCCATGATCACCTCTCCATTCATGGTGTTTTATGGGAACTTGCTCATCATCCTGCAGTACATCTGGAGCTTCGAGTCGCTGCAGCCCGTTCCTGGGCTCTTCCTGAAGAAAGAAGTGCCTTTCCGGGAGCTGGGATCGAAAGTAAGACCGCATTACGTGCTGTATTTGTTTGTGTCTACTAGAGCTGGTGTGATAAATGATATCATATTGTGATAAAACGTATGTTGATAAGAATGATAAGCTCTGGACATTTTTAGTCGATGTGGATTAATCACACAGCAGAAATAAAGAAATACACACCGAAACGGAAAGTAAAACTGAAAGACCTTCACGACAACCCGCCAAAATAAAAGTCTGGTTTAACTTGAAGAAATTATGACAGAAATATATCTCTGTTGTATACTAAAATATAATTCTCAAAATACTAGTAGTAGTAGTAGTAATTAATAATAATAATATTTAATATTTTAAGGAATATCACACAACCAAGATATTTGTTCATCCATGTTTTAATTTAAGCAGTTCTGTCGTGCAGCATCTTATTTAACAAAAACAAAAAAAATGCTATATTTTGTTTCAAATTAATTATTACTGTTGTTATATTTTATTATATTTATATTAATTATTATTATTGTTATATTTTCATTCAATTACATTTCAAAATATTTGTTTAATTTTTAAAGTTGTATTAATTCATTTCATTTCTGATGATGAATTTGTATTAAATCATAAAACACAAAATCCAGAAAAAATTAAATGGAAAACACAGAATGTAGGGAAAAATAAATATCCTTCCTCATTAATGCTACAAAAAATAATTAAATAAATAAATAAATAAGATAATATTTTTGCCCTAGTGTCTATGTATTTATGTGTTTAAATAACGTATAAAAAGATGTTTCCAGTTTAATAATCTGATTGGTTGAGCCACACTGTGTTCTGATTGGCTGTGACTGATTAGGACATGGTGTTATACTTGTTTAAAGAGTTGTTTATTGTGATTATTGGTTGTGAATGATTATTTATTGAACATTGCTGTATGTTAAGATATGTATTTGCTGCTGAAATCACTGAACTACTGCTCCATTCTGTGCGGCACGGTGATTTTATCCTGATTAAGGGAGTTTTAGGCACTGAACACACACATATCCTCTTTTGAATGAATCATTGACTAATTTTTTTTGACTATGATAATATTACAGTGTGTTTGTGCAGACGTTGTGCCTCCTCAGTTTCTGGCTGCTGCTGAGGCAGTTTTTGACGGAGAGGAGAGAGAAACAGACTGTTGAAACGCAGCTGTCCGATGTCAGAGTGGAGGGACACACAATCGGTGAGAGAGAGACACAGAAACAGCATCTTTACCACTGTTAACTAAAACTGAAACCATAAAAAATCTAATAAAATAATTATTTAAATTTCATTTATTTCAGCTAGGCAACATTTCCCATTTTCATTTAGTTTAACCTGATACTAAAATGGTGCTAAAATAACTAAAACTAAAATAAAAATTAATAAAAAATTGTATAGATATAAAAAAGTAATAAAAATGACACAGAACAACAAAATTACCAAAACCTTGACAAAAAAATAAATAAAAAAAATTGGCCTATATATATATATATATAAATAAAAACTAATTCAAACTGTTAACGGGATTCCAGCCACAACCAACAGATCACTGAAGACACCATCCATAAGTTTAAACAATTTATTAAAGAAGAATAAAGAGGTATAAAGGAGCAGTGGCTTCAGGGTGGCCCAAGGCCAAAATAACAAACAAAACCAACTAATAAAATAAATATATAAAACTGACCTAATGATAAAGAAAAGAAAATTACAAATGAACTTCCCTAACTCCCTAAACAAAAACAAATCGCAAACATAGGTCAAAATAAATGGCAGGTCACCCCTACGCTCCCGATAACTTTGTTATAATATATGCAGTATGAATAAATTGAACAGAAAACAGAATGTGGTCATAAAGCTGCAAACAATATCCACAACATTTCTTTGATCTGTTGATGGAGGTGGAATCCGGACAGCAAACGCCAAAATGAGCTCCCCATGTTTAAAGTCATCCGCTTCAGGATCCACCGATCACGTCCCTCGATGAACCGCCAGTCCCTGCAGACACACACACTCACGTACACAAAGCAGGACACACAAGAGCAAAGATGCAGAGGATCGTAACACACGTTTTCATTCAATTTTACCCTTTTAAGAAGTTAAAATGCGTAAAAAAAAGTTTAGTAAAAAAGCGAAATTTGCTATTTCCACCCAATTGGCATCTCACAGATAAAATAGTGTGCATTGTCACATAGGTTTTGGTGTACTGCAAAAGAAATCTTGAGCATTTCCATAAAACTTGTGTATATTGCAAATATTTTATCTTTCGCATTCCAGGTATCCTCAAATAGAGAGTAATGAATTAAATTTGACACATTTCACAAACAATTTAATATTAGGAAATATAATTTATTATATCAAAAAACTATATATAATTTTTCATATATAATTAAATGTTTTAATGATTTTCAAAATTACATTGTGCCAAGAAGCTTTGAAAATAACAATAACATCAAATCGATCACTGCTGGTTTGTTTTCAGAGACAGATGCTGTTGAAACCGAAACATTTTATTTGTGTATTTAAGTTCTGTAAAAACTCTTGAATCTTTTAAAGCATCTTAATTTTTTTTTTTTGAGCTAGTAAAGTTAAATAAAACCAAGAAAAAATTATTTTATTGATAAATAGCATTTCTATCAGCTATATTGGTAAACATTTTGATGTGCTAAACCTTTTCCACCTGGAAACTTGGCTGTAGCACAAGATATTATCCACAAAATATTTAAATGTTTTGACAGCCCTATATTGTGTGTGTGTGTGTGTGTGTCTGTGTGTGTCTGTGTGTGTCTGTAGACAGCCTTTTGATATCGCTTCCACTGTTACAAATAGCACGTTATAAACACAGTAACAGAATTAGTAGACAATAATTAATGTGGAGTTTGTTTGTCTGTGTGGTTTGTATACTGTCAGTTGGTTTGTTTATCTGATTGTTTGTTTTTGTTTTGTATGTCATCTTTTTTTGTGGTTGTTTGTCATTTGTTTATTATCCATTTGTTGTGTTTTGTTTGTTTTGTGTTTAACCTGTCATTTGTTTGCTTTTGTTTGTTTATTGCCATTTGTTGTTTTATTTTGTTTGTTTACTGTATCTGTCATTTTTGTTTTTGTTTGTTTATTATTATCCTTTTTTTTTCTGCCACAGGATAAAAAATAAATTCAGACATTTTTCTTGCAGTTCTAAAGAAAAATTTTTTTTTGCAAGATATAAACTCAGAATTGCAAGATATAAATGCTGAATTGAGAGATATTAACTCACAATTCTGAGAAGACAATTATGAGAAGAAAGTCATAATTGTGAGATATGAACTTGCTAAAAATGTGCATTGCAAAAAAAAAGGCAGAATTGTGAGAAATTTAATATCAGACAAAATAATTTTGAGAAAACAACTGAGAGATGTAAACTCAGAATTGCAAGAAAAAAGTCTGAATTGTGAGATGAAAAATTACTTTCTACCTTTTTATTTTGATTTTGTGGCAGGCAAAAAAAAAACAGTTGCGAGATGTAAAGCCAGAATTCTGAGAAAAAAGTTAGAATCTTGGTATATAAACCTTTTTTATGAAGACTTTTTGTCTCAGATTTGCAAAGTCTGAATTATGAGATATAAAGAAGCCTGAATTGTGAGATGAGAAGTAGCTATTAGCTTTTTTATTTCTTATTCTGTAGTGCAATGGGCTTCTGTACTTTTTCACAGATTCATCTTGTGTTAGATATGTTTATACAGTCAGTTAATGTGTCGTCCGGCTCTGTTCCAGCTGCACTATGAGAGGTGGCGCTGGATGCTGAAGTATTTCTGGATGTCAGTGGTGGTTTACACCATGCTGGTGCTCATTCTGGTCTACACGTTCCAGTTTGAGTCCTCCATAAACGTGTGGTCCAACATGACAGGCATGAGCAGAGAGAAGTATGCTGATATGTGCACAGCTTATTTTCGTGAGCAGTATCACAGGTGTTGCGGTGTGATAGGTGAGCTCCTCTTCTGTGCAGGCTGGAAGATCTGGGTCTGGAGAAGTTCTCGCTTCCTGCTCTGTTCACGCGGATCTTCATTCCCACCTCGTTCCTGCTGGTCTGCATCCTGCATCTGCACTATTTCCACGAGCGCTTCCTCGAGCTCACCGACATCAAATCTGTGGCTGACAAACAGAAGAGCACAATCACCAGGTACAGTGCTTACTGAAAGCACAAAAAGATGCACCTTACGGTCTCGATGAGCTTTGCATGTCTGGCCGCTGCAGTTGTTTTCCCAACTGGTTGTATGTAGGCTTTTTCAAGTCTAGCCATGAACTGGACTGAGATCTGGACTCTGAAATGAACAGTGTTGTTTTTGAGGCATTCCTGTGAAGCTGGGGTCAAGTTTCTGACTCCATCAGGTTTTCCGACAGGATTTCCTCAGAGGAAATAATCCTGCCACCACCGTATTTCACATTGTGTGTTTATGATAATGTGCGTGTTGTCTGATGGCTAAAACGCTCAGTTTTGATCCCATTATTCCATAATAATAATAACAAAAAACCAACAATAATAATAATAGTTATTAATAGTTGTTATTAATATGTTTGTGTTATTATTAATGGCAATATAATCATAACAAGGTGCATAATACAAGTGCATCTTTTTAAGGTTGCATAGTTTCTTATTGTTTGCATTATTAAATGAGCTCATTTTAACAATACAGGTGCATCTTTTTCAGATTGTAGCGCTTATTTGTGAGCCTGGAGCACAAAAGCAGTGTTAAGTCGCTGGGGTATATTTGTAGCAATAGCCAACAATACATTGTATGCCTCAAAATTATCCATTTTTCTTTTATGCCAAAAATCATTAGGATATTAAGTAAAGATCATGTTCCATGAAGATATTTTGTAAATGTCCTAAAACTGTTTTTGATTAGTAATATGCATTGCTAAGAACTTCATTTGGACAACTTTAAAGATGATTTTCTAAATATTTAGATTTTTTTGCACCCTCAGATTCCAGATTTTCAAATATTGTTCTATCCTAACAAACCATACATCAATGGAAAGCTTATTTATTCAGCTTTCAGATGATGTATAAATCTCAATTTCAAAAAATTGACCCTTATGACTGCTTTTGTGCTCCAGGGTCACATTTGAGTTATTTTAGTGCTATTTTTCTTCTATTATAATTTTTATTCATATTTTGAATTAGTTTTTAATCTTTTAGTTTTAATTAATTTTAGTTTTGTGCTTTTTTGTCAGTTTTCATATTTTTTATATATATTTTTTTTATTTTTGTCGTATTTTATTTAGCTTTTTTATATATATATATTTCACTTTAAATTTGAGAAATGCAAGTATTTTAACTTAAAATAATTTAATTTCAGTTAGTTGCCAAAGCATCATTTCTAAATTTGTTTTAAGGTTTTTTTTTCTTCTTAAGTTAAAAGTATGAGAAAGATCTGCCAGTGAGATATGATTTCAACCACTTCAGCACATTTCCCTTAAGACCAACCCAGTGTTCCAGGCGGTCAAACAATATATTATGATCCACCATATCGAACGCCGTGCTGAGGTCGAGTAGAATCAGAATGGTATTTTCACCATTATCCAAAGCCTAAAAGATGTCATTCAGTACTTTCACCAATACCGTCTCAGTACTATGATAAGGCTTAAAACCTGATTGAAAGACCTCAGCAACAGAGTTAAAAGTCAAGTTGGCCTGGAATTGTTTAAAAAAAACACTTTTTCTAAAACCTTAGATAAAAAGGGCAAATTTGAGATAGGCCTAAAATAGTTTGGCCTATCTTATTTTTAAGAGTACAGGTTGTGTAGCTTCTTGTTAGCCTTATTTAGTGAGTTTCACACTGTGTTTTCTGTGATCTGTATGCACCAGAGAACAGCTGCGAGTCAAACTTTGCTTTTCTAAACTGTTGTTACTCCACTGCTCGTGCTTTATGTATTTCATAAACATGTCTGGAACATGTCGCTGTGATTCATCCGTGGGTGTCTGTGTTTTATGACTGTTTTGAGATTTGAGATATTTTGCCCATTATTGGCTGTTTCAGCGTTGTAATGTTGACAAACGGCTCTGTAAGTGTTGCTGTGCACAGGGTCATTATTTTACGGTCCTGGAATCAGCTGCTCGCATTCCCAAAATCCTGATATATATTATGATCCACCATATCGAACGCCGTGCTGAGGTCGAGTAGAATCAGAATGGTTTTTTCACCATTATCTAAAGCCAAAAATAAGTAGTTCAGTACTTTCACCAATACCGTCTCAGTACTATGACAAGGCTTAAAACCTGATTGAAAGACCTCAGCAACAGAGTTAGAAGTCAAGTTGGCCTGGAATTGTTTAAAAAAACACTTTTTCTAAAACCTTAGATAAAAAGGGCAAATTTGAGATAGGCCTAAAATAGTTTGGCCTATCTTATTTTTAAGAGTACAGGTTGTGTAGCTTCTTGTTAGCCTTATTTAGTGAGTTTCACACTGTGTTTTCTGTGATCTGTATGCACCAGAGAACAGCTGCGACTCAAACTTTGCTTTTCTAAACTGTTGTTACTCCACTGCTCGTGCTTTATGTATTTCATAAACATGTCTGGAACATGTCGCTGTGATTCATCCGTGGGTGTCTGTGTTTTATGACTGTTTTGAGATTTGAGATATTTTGCCCATTATTGGCTGTTTCAGCGTTGTAATGTTGACAAACGGCTCTGTAAGTGTTGCTGTGCACAGGGTCATTATTTTACGGTCCTGGAATCAGCTGCTCGCATTCCCAAAATCCTGATGTTTTCTGCACATGTGCAGATGTGACTCAGTAATCCTGTGTGTTACTGTCAGACAATATAGACCAGTGTTACTTTAATGCTATTTCAGTACTGTTGTAATACTATTTATATTTACAATTAGCTTTTATTTTTATGTTTTCAGTTTTTTAATTTTATTTTTGTAATTTTTGTGAAGTTTTTATATTCTATTCAGCTTTATTTAATTTTATTTAATTTTATTATTTTTTTAGTAATTTTAGTATTTCACTTTTTTATTTCAGTTGGTTGCCAAGGCAACATTTCTAATTTCGTTAACAATATAGGTGCATCTTTTTCAGGTTGCAGAGCTGATTTTTGTTCATATTATGAAGTTATTTTAGTATTTCTATACTATTATAAAGTATTTATTAAATTAATCAAATATGTATTAATATTTAGAATTAGCTTTTATTTTTATATTTTCAGTTTTATTTTATTTTATGTTTTAGTCATTTTAGTCAAATTTGTGAAGTTTTTATATTCTATTCAGCTTTATTATTTTTATTTCATTTACATTTTTTGTCATTTTTAGTATTCAGCCAAAACTTATTTTATTTCAATTACTTGCCAAAGCAACGTTTCCGATTTAATTTAAGTATTAACTAATTTTTACAACAATATAGGTGCATCATTATTTATTTATTTATTTATTATTTTTTTGTTGTTGTAATTTTAGTACTTCAACTTTAACTTATTTTATTTCAATGAATTGCCAAGGCAGCATTTCTAATTTTGTTCATGCTTTAACTTATTGAACTTATTATTATTAATACAGGTGCATCACTTTCAGGTTGCAGAATCACTTTTGTTTGCATCATTAAGTTATTTTAGTATTATTTCTATACTATTTTATTATTTTCTAATACTTTGAATTAGCTTTTATTTTTATATTTTCAGTTTTGATTTTCATTTTCAAATAAGTTTTTTTTTTTTATTCTTAATTTAAGTTTTTCATCTAATATTTTCGTTTAGTTTAGTTTAGGTTAGTTAATTTCAGTTAACAAAAGTAATACAAATAGTTTTAGATAGCACTGAGAGTAATTCCTGAACACTTAATGTCAATTCAAAAAACTTTCAACTCTCATTGCCATGGTACATTCTGTTGTTTTTGTAAGTGATGCATGTGTTGTTCTCGTGTGAAGAGCTGAAGAATAAGTGGCATCTGGTGGTGGAGCGTCTGGCGGTGCTGTTCCTGAAGTTCCTGGAGTACGTGCAGAAGCTGCAGCTCTTCATCTGGTGGCTGCTGGAGCTTCACATCATCAAGATCGTCTCGTCCTACATCATCTGGCTCTCAGTCAGAGAGGTGAGGAGCAATCACGGCTTAGGTGGTCCAACATACAAGTCTATGTGATCTCTTTTGGACAATCCAGCAAAGTAGTAGCTGGTTTTACATGGTGTCTAGCTGGTCTAACCTGGTCTGTATGCTCACATGACCTAGATCAGGGTTTTTCAATCTTTTAAACGCCACAGACCCCCAAATAATCATCCTCAAGCAAGGAACCCATCCCAGGGTTATTATAGTTAAAGGCACAATATGTAATTTTCACCGCTGGAGGGCGCGTATTCAAAATAAACAAAGAGGCAAAGGTGTAGTTTGATGACGGCGTGACTGAGTGTGGAATCATGGGAGTTGTGGTCTTCATCCCCACAGCCGAAGCAATCCGACGGGACTCGGGCAGAAATCATGTTCATGGATGAGCTAATGATTTATTAACGTAGTAGAATGAAGCAGGGTGAGGCTGAAAGCCGTCGAAGCGAAACGAGGCGCTGAACGAGCGCGACACACGGCTGGAAAGCAGCGGAGCTTTTATTATGCCACAGTCGACCGCTTCCGCTGCTTCCGGTCGTGCGTATGTGGGGTAAAGCAGCGCTGTTTTATCATACGAGATACATTCATATTAAAGCGTCTTTGGTTTTTCCATGTTTTCTACAAAACAAAACCGGAAATCGAGGGGTTTTGACGTCATTGGCAGGCGACACAATGACACTATGGATACGGTTCGTGTCACTAGTTAAAATTGCTTATTTCTCTGGATTTAAACATTCTTCGAAACATTTGGGATAATGTAAGTACACAAGGCAGCAAAATATATAACACTGTTCTAGTGGTTTTTGGATATTTTAATAAAAAAATCTTACATATTGTGCCTTTAACTTAAAACTAAAACCAAAGTCATTAAAAACGTTTTTATTACTTGAAATAAAATAAATGTTAATTGAAATAAAACTTACTTTATTTCAGCTAGTTTTAAAGGCGACATTTCTCATTTTCATTTAGTTTAACTTGATAACTCAAACTAAATTAATAAATAAATTAAATAACAATAATAAAATTAATAACAACATATACACACACATATATATATATATATATAAACAACCAAAAATGACAAAACACACAATAAAATTACAAAAGAAAATTAACTAAAATTAACATGAAAGCAGAAAATATAAAAATTAAAAATCTAAGATGATACTAAAATATCATTGCCTCTGAAATTTACATGGCATCTATATTGTTTCTTATTTAAAGACCAACTTATACAGTGAAAAATTATTATAAATGTGTCTAAAATATCATTTAGAAAATATTTTGTTTCAGTTAAGCTTGTTTATTTTCATTTACTTTTTATTCATTTACTCACTCATTTATTCTTTAATATTTTATTTATTTATTATTTATTTTTGTTTGTTTGTTTGAATCGAATGCTTATTTATTTTGAATCATTTTTAATTTTATCTTATTTTTTTATTTATTTATTATTTTTATTTATGAATTGTAGTTTATTTTTTAACACTTTTTTTTCTCTCTCTAAACATTTACACAAATGTGAAAACGTAGAGGACCACATTGTTCACGCTGGTGGACCTCTCTGGTTCTGTGTCTCTGTCAGGTGTCTCTGTTTAACTACGTGTTCCTGGTGAGCTGGGCCTTCGCTCTGCCCTTCAGTCAGTTCAGACCGCTGGCGTCTAGCGTCTGCACCGTCTGGACCTGCGTCATCGTGGTCTGTAAGATGCTGTACCAGCTGACCTCCATCAACCCGTCCTCGTACTCCAGGAGCTGCAGTATGGTGAGTCCTCACTCGCTCACTCGGGACACACAGACGCTCTGGTTCTGACCGAGTCTGTGCTTCTCTCCTCCAGCCGGAGAACTACACAGACGCTCAGCGCTCAGACATGGCCAGATCTCTGCTCTACAGCGGCCCGGTGGATCCGGCTAACTGGATCGGCTTCAGGAAGTTCTCTCCGCTGCTGGAGAATCTGAGGGTAAGAGCTGCTGAGGTTCAGACGCAAAATCAGTATAGTTAACAGGATTAATATAGTTATTACACTCTTAAAAATAAAGCTGCTTACAAGGTTGTTCACAGCAATGCCATAGAAGAAGCATTTTTGGTTCCACAAAGAACCATTCAGTCAAAGAACCATCTCTTTCTTACCTTTTTTATAATCTGAAGAACCTTCTTTTCGCCTTTTGTGAAACAGAAAGGTTCTTCAGATGTTAAAGGTTCTTTATGGAACCATTTAGACAAAAAGGTTCTTCTATGGCATCACTGTGAAGCACGAAGAGTGTACAGTTAACTAAAAAAAAAAAAAGCCTTTATAACAATGCGTTATTTGAAATAAAATAAATGTTACTAAAATAAAATATATGTAATAAAAAAAAAAACTTTTTTATTTCCGATAGTTGCCAAGGCAACATTTTTTTAAATCTTAATTTAGTTTAACTTGATGTACTAAAATAGCTCAAACTAAAACTGAAATAAAAATTAATAAAACCTATATAGACAGACTAAAAATGACAGAAGCACACAATAAAATGCCTACCGTTTTGATTAAAATTAAAATGAAAACAAAATATAAAATCAAAAACTGATTCAAAATAAAACTATAATAGCGTCTCAATGATACTAAAATAACACTGATTGCCACATGGAGAGAAAAAAATTAGCACCCTAGCTAAACTTATTACTGTATATCAGCTGTTAGACCTTTTATTAAGACGTGTGTGCCTTTCCAAATCATACCCATTCAATTGAATGTTCCACAGGTTAACTTCACTCGAAGTGTAGTAACATCTACAAGCAATATGAATGCTCCTGAGCTAAATGTCAGCTGTCCCAGATAAGGGTTTGAATACTTATGCAATGGAGTCATTTAAGTTTTGTATTTTGCCAGCTGTGGAAAAAAAGTAATTTAAAGCAGTTTAACATAAGGCAGCAGCATAACAAAACGTGAAATAAATGAAGGGGTATGAATACTTTCGCAAGGCACTTCCTATATATAGGAAGATATTAGAAGATGCAAGATTTTGGCTTCTATAGACGATGGTTTGATCTGAATAATTTATGTACAGTACTTTATAAATATACGAGTAAAGGTTGGTCACAGTTAGTATTCAGTTAGTATTTTTGAGATACTATAACATATTAGTGTCTATTTTTATTTTTATTTTAAAGTTTTTGTAATTTTGTTTTGTTTTGTTCTAGTACTTTTTGTAGTTTTTATAAATTTTTATTTCAGTTTTTGTTATTTTTGAACGTTAACTTAAACAAATATAAATGAGAAATGGTGCTTGGCAGCTAGCTGAAGTAAGTTTGTAATATTTTGTTTCATTTCAGTTAATGTATCTTTTTATGGCTTTAGATTCAGTGTTAATTTTGGTAAACTTTGGTCACACAAATTCGCTGTGTTGCTCGACAGAAAGCAGCTCGCTTTGAAAGTGATTTCTGTGTGAGCTGTGCTTCATACTGTACATCTCTACACTATTGACAACAGACAGCTTACCTTTTTTGCCTGTAAAATTTAACCAAAATTTTGCTAAAGTGATGCCACGTTAAGAGTCAGAGTATCGTTCTCACGATAACATTTAATCGAGAGATTATCAATCAGCTCCTAATAAAGTTACCAGCCATCGGTGACATTGGCAAATCTACATTATGCCGATTTATACTTGCATTTGTCTCTTGTGGTTGTTAATTTCGGACACTACAAGCACTTCAATAGCATGCTTATCCATGTATTTATTTGTTTGTATATTTGTTTATTTTCCGCACACAGAATAACTTACTGATGCTGGCTCTCTTGGCGTTTGAAGTGACCATTTACCGTCACCAGGATTTCTACAGGATGAAGAACAACCTCCCCCCTCCGGTCACGAGAACCGTCTTTCACAACATCACACGCCAGCATCTGGACGACGGCATCGTCAACTGCGCCAAATATTTCATCGACTACTTCTTCTACAAATTTGGTCTTGAGGTAATATCAGCATTAATTATACACTACCATTCAAAAATCTGAGGTTGGTAAGTTTTTTTATATTTTTGAAAAAGTCTCTTCTGCTCACCAAGGCTGCATTTATTTGATCAAAAATACAGTAAAAATTATGAAATAATATTACAATCTAAAATAGCAGTTTTCTATGTGAATATCTGATCAAATGTAATGTATTTCTGTGATGCGCAGCTGTATTTTCAGCATCATTACTCCAGTCTTCAGTGTCACATGATCTTCAGAAATCAGTATAATATGCTGATTTGAAGGAACATGAACGTGTTCTCCCCTTTGAGGGCCAGTTTTGGTTTTGTACAGACACTGATTTACTCTCTGTCTGTGAGACGGTCTCTAATAGATTATCATCGGAAGCTCAGATTGCTAACACACTGTTGAGACCGATAAACCACAATAGAGTGTTACGGTAATGGATCAGGGTTACGTGATGGATATTGAATTTTAATTTGTGTATAGTGATGCTATCAAATGCACCCATTATTGTCCTAATTTGAAACCCGTGGCTGAATGTTGCTCCTCCAGACCTGTTTTCTGTTAGCGGTGAATGTGATCGGCCAGCGGATGGATTTCTATGCCATGCTGCACGCGTTCGGTCTGATTGCGGTGATGTATCAGCGCAGGAGAAAAGCCATCGCCCGCGTCTGGTCCAAGTATTGCTTCTTTCTGGCTTGCATGTTAGCCTTTCAGTACCTGATGTGCATCGGCATCCCTCCTGCGACCTGCACAGGTGAGTCACACAGGTGTCTGCTTAAAGAGACAGTTCACTCAATAATGAAAATGTGCTGAAGATGTACTCAAACTCAGGCCAACCAAGATCAGGGTGAGTTTGTTTCTTCATCAGGTTTGTAGAAATGTAGCATTGCATCAGTGTCTCAGCAATGGATGCTCTGCAGTGAATGGGTGCCGTCAGAATGAGAGTCCAAACAGCTGATAAATAATCTGGGATGACCTGAGGGTGAGCACATTTCCAGCAAATTTTAAAAATTTGGGGTGAACTATTCCTTTAAGATAAAAGCAAATTCCCTCTTGGTTATCTTGAAGAAGGCTCTTGACATTATATTTCTGAATTCCACCAATATCTCTCCTTCGGTTCAGACTATCCGTGGAGAAGGCCGTCTTCCAGCATGGACTCAAACGTCATCAAGTGGCTCTACTTCCCAGACTTCCACACCAAACCCAGCTCGCTCTTCCTCCTCTGTGAGTAATGTTGAATCTGTGTTAACGCTCCCCAGCTCTGCTTTCACGCTCTCTCCTCACATGCCGCTCTCTTCTCTCTCTCTCTCTGCAGATGACTTCATGCTGCTGCTGTGCGCGTCGCTGCAGGGCCGTGTGTTTGAGGAGGAGAGCGTGACGGCCGTGCAGCTGCTGGCGGGTGATAATGTGGAGATCTGTCGAGGTCTGGACGCCGCCAGCTTCAGCCAGCACAACCCTGTGCCCGACTTCATCCACTGCAGGTACACAGCTCACACAAACAGCCCAGACCACAAGAAGTTCATTTTAATCATGTGTACTTAGTATTAGTCATGCACTGAAATTAAAATTCTGGGCCAAATCCAAAACGAAAATTCAGGATTCTGGATCAAAAATCAAATAAAACTTAAAAATCAATCAAAAAAACTCCTTACGTCCTCAGCCATCTTCAAGAATCAGCCAAAAACACATCTCTTCTGTCTTTACTTGACCCTCTAACTCTAGCACTCTCTATTCTAATTCTATTCTTTAAAAAATTGCCCCTTTTAGACTTTAGCACTCTATTCATTTACTAGCTGCTTGTTTTCTTTAAAAAATAAATAAATAAATAACACTAGCTTCTCTATTCTTTTTGTATTCTATCTATTTGTTTTCTTTTATTTATTATACAATTAACAAAAAGCAAAAAAGGCCTCTAACACTAGTTTGCTCTATTTTTTTCTATTCTTTTTATTTATTATATAATTTGAAAAACCCTTGCTATGTGTGCTGTGTTAGGTTAACTGAGACGTGTTATAGCACTTGCTTATCATTGCTTTTTTGTTAGTTTTGATTGCTTCTGTTGTCCTCGTTTGTAAGTCGCTTTGGATAAAAGCATCTGCTAAATGACTAAATGTAAAAATGACCTTTTTAAACTTATTTTAAAGTAGTGTTTTCTATAACTGTATTAATATTATTGCGCCAATTTTTTACATTTAATTTAATTATTATGAAGAAACTAATGAATTAATTAAATTATTATTTAATTATTTATTTTTTATTATTTATTTAGCATTTTCATTTAGCCAAAGACTGAAACAAAAACGGGGGAAAAAATCAATTAATCGACACTCAAATAAAAACTATTAAACTGCACATAAGACCGTTTTTATGTTGACTTTTTAATAACAGAATTTTGCTTCTATTGAAATATACACATTTAAAAAGTGGCTGTAATAATAACATGTTTTATCACAGATTTATTCAAATGTGAATTAAATAAAGAGGACAACAGGTTAAGGATAAATATCATTAATATGTAATACTGTGCATATATTTATCAAAAGTAATTTTTATGACCATTCAATGGCTTTTCTGAGGTAAATGTTATTTAAACAAAACAAACAAAAAAAATTATAACATTTACACACTTTTATGTCACATTTAGTTCTTTTGAAGGTCCATTTCAAAACAGAAAAACACATTAATAATCTGTATTTCTCGTGTTTTCTACATCATATAAACCAGAGGTTCTCAATCTCAGTGAACTTCCAAAGGGCCGCAAAATGGCATAAAATGAGTTAAACAGATTATATTTCTATAATCGAATTTAATTACAATGCTAAAGAGCTCACGTCAGATTTCTTTCAAGAGCATACAGTTCTGCTCAGTTTTTCCACTTCATTGTTACACTTATTATTATACTTGCAGATTCCAGTAAAACCAAATAACCTGCTAATGCATTATGGGTAATTCTGAGGAAACGGTGCCATTTGATGCAAAATGGTTTGGGGTTGAACATTATTAGCAAAAATGGCCTTTCCTAGCAAATATCATCATATGATTGTTTACAGTCTGTGTTTTTGATGCCAAAGACAATATTTTCCTCTGATAGCAGATTAACTTTTGAGCCTGACCAGACCAATATAATAATAACCATATGTGAACACTAATAATGACATATACACTATTATTCAAAACTTTGGGGTCAGTAAGATTTTTTAATGTTTTAAAAGAAGTCTTTTTCTGCTTGAGTCAAAGACGAAAAAAGGGTCGTCAAGCATCAAAACTATAAAAGTCCAATTTACATTAGAATGTGTCCTAGTCTAATTTTATATTTCTGAGAATCATACATTTTTACCAAGATTTACAGAAGACACCCACTAAAATATCGTTCAGGGTAACAATAATTCATATACCAAAAAATCGTGATCGTCATATTTAGAATAATCATTAGTCAGCTACTAAATGCTAATTTACTGTCATTTTAAATCTTCAAACCACAAAGCTTTACCCATTTGTTAGTTTTTAATCATTTAAAATATATTAAAATTTATGACGATCACGTATTATTTTATGCATTTTAATAACAACAGGTCAGGATTGATGTGTTTTGCATAAATATAACTGTTACACTGAATGATGATGGAACATGATTTCACATTTTATTTTCACTAAAGTTATTTGAAACATTAAAGTAGGCATTTACTAAATACATATTAAATGCATACTTGCATTTTTATTTGATGCGGACACCAAAATGGGACTCACATCTGTGACCCACTCACCAAGGCTGCGTTTAATTAAAAATACAGTAAATTTTTGAAATATTATTACAATTTAGAACAGCAGTTTTCTATGTGAATATGTGTTAAACTGTAATTTATTTCTGTGATGCGCAGCTGTATTTTCAGCATCATTACTCCAGTCTTCAGTGTCACATGATCTTCAGAAATCATTCTAATATGCTGATTTGCTGCTCAACAAACATTTCTGATTATTATCAATGTTGAAAACAGTTCAATATTTTTGTGGAAACTGTGATACATTTTATTTTTCAGGATTCACAGATGAATAGAAAGTTCAATAGAACAGCATTTATTTGAGATTGGAATATTTTGTAACATTTCTGACACTTTTAAACAATTTAATGCATCTTTGATGATTACACACAACATCTTCACTTGTGACACAGTTTCTGAAAGCTGACACTCAAACAGCAGAAGCACACACCAAATCTACAAAACCATACACTAATAATAATCAGCCTTTGACTCGGTTTTCAATTTCAAAAAAACACTTTTTGCAAAACACAACATCGATGTAACACACAAAATTCTAACAGGAATTAATATTATGGCAAATGTTTGCTTTTGAGATGTGTTTGTGATATTTTGAATGCAGTGCTTCATTTTGCAAGAGATGCGAGGCATTTTGCATTTTGTGTGTGCAATTCTTGGATTTGTGTGTAAAGTTTTGAAAAATGGAGGCAAGGTTTTGAAAATGTGTGCAAGCAGCTGAAAAAACCTGTAAATGAACATTACTAAAAGAGCATTTGCTCATAACTTTGAGAGAAACTCGCCAGAACATTAAGCCAAAGTTCTGAGAACATTCCCTGTTAGCTGGGACTTTATATTATATTAACATTTCTGATTGTTATCAATGTTGAAAACAGTTGTGCTGCCCGATATTTTAGTGGAAAGTTCTTTGAAGAATGGAAGGTTCATATAAAGCCAGTAAAGAGTGTTTTTGGTTTTGGTCAAGCCCATCAGCACCACACCCAAACAATAAAGCTGCAAATGAGCAGGAATCAGCGTCTAACCACAAGCAGAACCTCAGCTCCACGTCCCACACTGAGCTCTATAAAACAGCCGATCGTTAGAAAGATTAAAAGCTGCTCTCGGCTTCAGGTTTCCTGAGGAAGTCCCTCTTCCCAAACAGTTCAGACTTCACCCTTCATTGTCTCTGTCCTCTCCGCAGGTCGTATTTGGACATGCTGAAGGTGATGATGTTCAGCTATCTGTTCTGGTTCGTCCTGACCATCATCTTCATCACGGGCACCACGCGCATCAGCATCTTCTGCATGGGGTACCTGCTCGCCTGCTTCTACTTCTTGATCTTTGGGGGCGAGCTGTTACTGAAGCCAATCAAAAGCATCCTGCATTACTGGGACTTCCTCATAGCATACAACGTCTTCGTAATCACCATGAAAAACATTCTCTCGGTGAGTATCTCATAAATCTGCTCGCAGCGATCTTTCACTCCGAGGTGTTGTAAATTAGCTTGAAATATGTGCTGAACAGCCACGGACCCACATAAATCACAGTTCTGTTTGTAGCGCTCTGCATTTCTGTGGGTCTGAATGGTTTGTGGGATTTGATTAATAATTACAAGTCAAGTCAAGACAAGTCAGCTTTATTTATGTAGCGCTTTTAACAATACAGATTGTGTCTAAGCAGCTTTACAGTATTAAATAGGAAAATAGTGTGTCAATGATGCAAATTACACACAACACACGCACACCTGCCTCACTAACCGAAATATGTCGCATAAATGGAAAATATTTATCTTTTTTTTTTTTTCATTATTGCTTCAGGAATTTATTCATATTTTTTTTTTTTTTTTTTTTTTTTTATTTTTTTTTTTGACTTTTGGTGAACCTACAAATGATTTAGTAACTACTTTGAATAAAATAAGTTCATTTAAATATTACCTACAGGGCACATTTTTGAGAGTGAATTTTGGGTGGCAAAATGCTGCAATACAAAAGGAGCTCACCAGAACCTCAGCAATCTGGTTCTCAACTTTTTATTTATTTATTTTTTATTTTTCTTTGTAATTATTGCTTCAGGAATTTATTCATTTTTTTTTCTCTCAACTTTTTATTTATTTATTTTTATTTTTATTTGTAATTATTGCTTCAGGAAATTTTTTTTTTTTTTTTCTCTCAATTTTTTATTTATTTATTTTTATTTGTAATTATTGCTTCAGGAATTTATTTATTTTATTTTTTTTCTTATTCTTATCCTATAACGAAATACTTGTGTGACAAATCATTCAAACTTCAAAGATAAAAGTTGATAGTTTATGTAATGCTCCCTGTTAGTGTTTTTAGATCAGTGTGTTATGAATGAAAAGTATGTAAGTGTTATGGTGAAACAAGCTTATTTTGAGACCTATATGAAGTGTTTTGTTGGTCTGAGTGAGTTTTGGCCAAGATACATGTTGGTAATGCAGTCTGTATGAACAGTTTTGAAAAGGTGGCTTCAGTATTGAGCAATGCTTGTTAGCAGTTAAAAAACAAACTGTAAAGAGGTTCATCCAAAGCGTGAGATATCAAAGAGAAGGTGTTGGTTGTTGTGGATGTTCTGCTGGATGTGATTGTGGTTTCTGTTCTCTCGGCTCTCAGATCGCGGCGTGTGGATATATAAAAGCGCTGGTGGTCAATCACTGCTGGCTGATCCAGTTATTCAGTCTGGCCTGCACTATAAAAGGATATTCAAAGCGTAAGTTATGCCTTCATTTCCTCTTTGGTTTAAAGAATTGAAGGCTCACTTTTTACATTCGCTGTACACTTTGATGTTCCAGTGCTTTCTTTTTTTTAAAGCTTTACTGCCACAAATCATGTCATGAAATGCGCTGAAAATGTGCTCATCCTCAGACGATCCAAGATCAGGATGAGTTTGTTTCTTCATCAGATTTGTAGAAATGCAGCATTGCATCAGTGTCTCATCAATGGATGCTCTGCAGTGAATGGGTGCCGTTTTAATATTTTTTATTTTATTTTATGTTTTATTAATTTTTTTTATTAATTTTGTTGTGTGTTTGTTATTTTTTTGTAGTTTTTATGTCTATATATATATATATATATTGTTATTTTAGTACTTAAAGTTAAAATAAATTAAAATGAGAAATGTTGTAGCCGAAATAAAACAATTTTTTTCAGTTAACATTTATTTTATTTAAAGTATTTTTATTTTATTTTTTTATTTACATTTTAATTTTTTTAATTTTTTTATTAATTGATTGTAATGGTTTTAATTTTAGATACAGTTTTAGTTTTAGTTGCCTATAATAACCCTGCATCTAACATTATGTTGTGGGTTATTTTTATCTTAATGTCCACGTAATATCTTCTTAAAGGGTTAGTTCACCCAAAAATGAAAATTAGCCCACAAATTACTCACCCTCAAGTCATCCTAGGTGTATTTGGCTTTCTTCTTTCAGACGAATCCAGTCGGAGTTATATTAAAAAT